TGTTGGATAATTAATACATTTACCGAGGATATGTTTCTAAAGAAAGAGAGGGGAGGAAAGGAGGACAGGACGCTCACCCCACCACCAGCCGGTCCCAGGAGCCAGTTAGTACTCCGCCCTTGTTAACTTTAACCAAGATGGCTTGAGGGTCCAGGACGTCTCTCTTCCGCGTCTCTCCCCGACAGGCTCCATTTTTAACACTCCTCCTTTTAGGATATGCCGTCTCTCGTCATGTCCCGGTGCCCCCATCCCACGTCCTAGTGTCTCTGGCTCATATAAGCATGTCCTACACTGAGTAGTTCTCCCCCCCATTGTGTATTGAATTAGTAGTGCACACCGTTCCTCGCTAAAGATGATGCTTGGTGTCAAACGCGACCAGATGCATAAAAAGTTAAATTGGTACGCAGACGCAGGTTATACAATAGTACATGCGTTATACCACGGATACGCCTTCTATTTTGTACTTTATACGAGTGTCGACGTGTTGGGACAACCACCATCCTCCTTGACGAGTGACGTGTCGGGACCACGACCATCCTGCTTGACGAGTGACGTGTTGGGACCACCACCATCCTGCTTGTTGAGTGACGTGTTGGGACCACGACCATCCTGCTTGACGAGTGACGTGTTGGGACCACCACCACCTCGCTTGGGGTGACGTGTTGGGACAACGACCATCCTGTTTGACGAGTGACGTGTTGGGACCACGACCATCCTTCTTAACGAGTGACGTGTTGGAACCACGACTATCCTGCTTGTTGGGCGTGTTGGGACCACGACCATCCTGCTGACGAGTGACGTGTTGGGACCACCACCACCTCGCTTGGGGTGACGTGTTGGGACAACGACCATCCTGTTTGACGAGTGACGTGTTGGGACCACGACCATCCTTCTTAACGAGTGACGTGTTGGAACCACGACTATCCTGCTTGAGTGACGTGTTGGGACCACCACCATCCTGCTTGACGAGTGACGTGTTGGGACCACCACCATCCTGCTTGACGAGTGACATGTTGGGACCACCACCACCTCGCTAGGGGTGACGTGTTGGGACCACGACCATCCTGTTTGACGAGTGACGTAAGGGACCACGACCATCCTTCTTGACGAGTGACGTGTTGAAACCACGACTATCCTGCTTGTTGGGTGACGTGTTGGGACCACGACCATCCTGCTTGACGAGTGACGTGTTGGGACCACCACCACCTCGCTTGGGGTGACGTGTTGGGACAACGACCATCCTGTTTGACGAGTGACGTGTTGGGACCACGACCATCCTTCTTAACGAGTGACGTGTTGGAACCACGACTATCCTGCTTGAGTGACGTGTTGGGACCACCACCATCCTGCTTGACGAGTGACGTGTTGGGACCACCACCATCCTGCTTTGACGAGTGACATGTTGGGACCACCACCATCCTGCTTGACAGTGACGTGTTGGGACGCTTGACAGTGACGTGTTGGGACCACCACCATCCTGCTTGACGAGTGACATGTTGGGACCACCACCATCCTGCTTGACGAGTGACGTGTTGGGACCACCACCATCCTGCTTGACGAGTGACGTGTTGGGACCACCACCATCCTGCTTGCACGTGTAAACACACTACTAGGCAAGGTGAAGAGCAAAGCTGCCCCAGCCTCTATCACCTCGAAAATCCTTCCTTCACCATCCTTCACTCTACTCTTGTCCCTTCACTATTCTTCACTCTACTCTTGTCCCTCCACTATCCTTCTCTCTACTCTTGTCCCTTCACTATCCTTCACTCTACTCTTGTCCCTTCACTATCCTTCTCTCTACTCTTGTCCCTTCACTATCCTTCTCTCTACTCTTGTCCCTTCACTATCCTTCCCTCTACTCTTGTCCCTTCACTATTCTTCACTCTACTCTTGTCCCTTCACTATCCTTCTCTCTACTCTTGTCCCTTCACTATTCTTCACTCTACTCTTGCCCCTTCACTATCCTTCCCTCTACTCTTGCCCCTTCACTATCCTTCACTCTACTCTTGTCCCTCCACTATCCTTCTCTCTACTCTTGTCCCTTCACTAGCCTTCCTACTTGCTCCCTCTACTCATCCTCTTCTCTCTACTCTTGTCCCTTCACTATCCTTTCCTCTACTCTTGTCCCTTCACTATCCTTCTCTCACTCTTGTCCCTTCACCCAGCCTTCTCTCTCTCTGTTCTTCACTATCCTCTCTACTCTTGTCCCTTCACTATCCTCTACTCTTGTCCTTCACTATTCTTTCTCTACCTTGTCCCTTCACTAGCCTTCCTCTACTCTTGTCCTTCACTATCCTTCCCTCAACTCTTGCCCCTTCACTAGCCTTCCCTCTACTCTTGCCCCTTCACTATCCTTCTCTCTACTCTTGTCCCTTCACTATCCTTCTCTCTACTCTTGTCCCTTCACTATTCTTCTCTCTACTCTTGTCCCTTCACTATCCTTCCCTCTACTCTTGCCCCTTCACTATCCTTCCCTCTACTCTTGCCCCTTCACTATCCTTCTCTCTACTCTTGTCCCTTCACTATCCTTCCCTCTACTCTTGCCCCTTCACTATCCTTCTCTCTCTCTTGCCCTTCACTCTTGCCCCTTCACTATCCTTCTCTCTACTCTTGTCCCTTCACTATCCTTCCCTCTACTCTTGCCCCTTCACTATCCTTCTCTCTACTCTTGTCCCTTCACTATCCTTCTCTCTACTCTTGTCCCTTCACTATCTTTCCCTCTACTCTTGCCCTTCCACTATCCTTTTTTTATATTCTTGCCCCTTTACCGTCCTTTCTTCTACTCTTGCCCCCCCTCACCCTTCATTATCATTTCTCTAATTTTGAGCCCTTCCCTTTACTCTTGCCCAATCACCCTCCTTCCCTCTACTCTTGCCCTTCCACCATGCTTCCCCACACCACTAATCGAATCTAAAAATACTTACTGTAACCTAACATTCAATGCGCCTAGTAGAAGGTAACCTCATGTTATCTAACATAACCTAAGTTTGATTATGTTTAATTCACAATATCTTATTATAACCCAACATAATCTAAGGCACTCTAATCACAAAACCAACCAAGCAAAGACGACAGGAGTTGACGGATCATTTGTCTACACTTCAATTCCCACGATGCCCATCAATTTTCTATTCTTCTTTGCCATCTTTGTACAGATATTTCAACCATTATGTTACCACTGAACACAAACTATTAACAATCTGAACATGTTCTATGTAACGTAACTGAGGTTTATGGAAGGTGATGTAACAAATGCCATTAGGAAGGTGGCGTAAGAGGTGTAGTTCCACAAGGTGACCCTCCCTCCTACTTGGACAGTAAAGAATGAGGCAGGACGGGTTAGCCGCAATTCCCGACTTAGCAGGTTCAAGTATCAAGTATCAAGGAAATTTTATTTTCTTACGAGCGAAAGACAAAAAATGATCATACACTACTTAGCTAATATATATATATATATATATATATATATATATATATATATATATATATATATATATATATATATATATATATATATATATATATACCGCGACAACCCACAGGCGACAGACACCAGTGCAGTGCCCCTATAAGTTCAGCAAGATATCAATTAACTTAAAACAGGAGTAACAGTTAATTTAAAAGGCGTAGGTGGCTTTAAATTATTGCCACCACTGTGGCCTAACGGACATGGGCGTGTGTGCTTTTAAGCAAATAAAGAAGGCTCCTGTCGGCTCCACACGCAGTTAACCAATACACATGAGACAAGACAATGTGTATGTGATGCGGATTTGCTCACTAGTTTTCTCGGAACACTAAAATCTTGGCAAATCGTTTCTCTCATTGTGACTACCTTGACAGGTTACTCCTAGAATATAAAAAAGGGAATTAACAATATCTCAAACCTGTTCTAACCGCTGGGTGGGCGGAACAGGTTGGGTCCCGCCCGCACCCTTGCCCTGACGCGATCTGGTAGGCGATAACATCGTGTGCCGTAACTTAGCTCAAACCTTATGCCATTGTTCTCGTAGTCTAACGCTGGGTAGGGTGTCCCTCGGCTACCGGTTGTGGTTTAAGATACGTGCGAGGTAACGCAGATGGACATTATGATGTTATCTGTCAATTCTGGATGAATCATCGGCAGGCTATCGACAGTAGTAAATTTAGGATACACGCTAGTTGGCGTTGAATGACCATTTTTGCGCTGTTTATGTAGAGAACTAACACCCTTAGGAGGATACCCTTTGTGGTTTAAGACACGTGAAGTTCTACAAAATTTTCACACACCGATTTTTTGCTTTGTTCCTGTTAGGGAAAAAACACTGTCGGCTGTCGTTTAAGATACACATGATTGCGGGGGCGAGCTTTTATACAGTACGAGGTTCCTGACACAAGTTTAACCTCCGTAAGGTATGTTATATTTCTGCACATGTTAATTTAGACACGTTGAACTTCTCTTTGTTGGTTCACTCACACTTAAGTCGATACTTCAGTTGACATTTTTATGACTTGTTGGGTACAATATTTTCAGGCTACTTATTTTGGTTTCAATTACAAGTTCTTGTACATAAGAGCGACATGGGCTGGCGTAAAGACAATAGTACGCTATCTACAGTAGTGGTATCTCATGACTGTTTGGTAAACCGTTTACAAGCTATCTGTGGTAGTCCTTGGTGAAACACGTTTATAGCAAGATTTTTTTTTACACTTGAGTACATTAGCTATTTCATCATTAGTTTTATCTTGTTCAATATATACAAAATGTAAAAAAATCGTAGACTACTAAAGTTATTTGTTTTCGTGGATCTTCATTACAATACAGGCTAACCATAGAAATGAGAAAAATATACGTAGCCTCATTTTAAAAATCACTTGAGATTTTTTAGCAAGTATTCCTCTCAAAACTGGTAAGTTTGTGTGGCCTTACGTATACACACATAACATCAGGTTTATAGTCACTAATTTCACGAGTTACGTTTAACCTAGACAGCATTGTCAGCGACCAGTAACACAAAGATCAC